GAGTCATTCCCCCTAGCCGAGCAGTCCCCAGCCACATCAACCTGACCAGCGTTCGATGGTTTGTTGTATCCTGTTGCTTTTCTTTTCTTTCTCCTCTATCCACTCACCCCAACCAGTCGAGGCAGAAGGCCGCCCACCAAGAGTCGGGGTCTGTCGGAGGTTTCTCCCGTTAAAGGGAGTTTTTCCTCCCCACTGTCACCGAGTGCTGTTCAAGGGGATTTGTTGGGTTTTTCCTCTGTAATAATAATAGTAAGGTGTAGACCTTGCTAAGTAAAGTACCCTGAGATGACTTTTGAATTGAATTTTAAAATGTTATTTTAGGTGTATACAACTTAAACTTTCTTCCCTCTGTACAGGACTTTGTACCCTGGGCGGTCAAACACATGACAGTCTCCTGGAAAAATATATCTGGCTCTTGGATTACACACCACACCAGACTGAATCACATTATTAAATAAGTAAGTTGGTTATTGTCCCCAGATAAAGATACATTTATTATTTATTTAGGACAAATATTTACACACAACTTCACTTATCCACAGTGAAATACAGAATTTAAAAATAAAAATTCTACAGAAAAAGTATTTAACCACGTGACTGTTACATCATATGGACGTGCGCTGTATTAACGAGCTGATTGGACAGTGCCTGTGTTTACATGGAGGAGCCCGCGAACAGGTGGGTTAAATTGGCTTCGTGTCCACAATGGGAGAGAGTATGTTTGGTGTGGCAGTGAGGGGACTGATCCCTCAGGAGCACATTTGGCTGTTTCCAGTGTAGGCCTACAATAAGTTAGTAGGTTAGGTAACTTTAGAGTAGGATGACTTGTGGCGAAGTACACGCAGCTGGTTTTACTATATATACACAGTAGTATACATGTAGGCTATCAGGTTGACTGTGCAGGTGAGCTACTAGCAGAATTACCAGCTACAAAAAAAAATCAGTCCTGTTTAAATTAATTTTTGGACAGGATCTTTCTTTAAGAGTCTCTCTGTGCGCTTTTTACCCAGGTGCCAAAATACACATGGAGCTCCCAGCAGCTGTTCTACTGGCCGGGCATCCCCTCCCTGCCAGCGCGCAGTGGTTCGCTCCAGTCGGCGTTCTGCTGTTGTTTATCACCGCCCCGCTGCCCGGCGCGCAGTCGGAGCTTCAGCCCGGTTACCGAGCGCACACTGAGCATCACCGCCTGCCCGCTGCCGTTTCTCCTCCTCACGCTCCAGCCTCTTTTAGCGTTTTTACCTCCTGCTTTGGTAGGTCAGTTCTCGCTTCCTGTTTTCTACTCATTCTTTCTTTCTTGCTGTTTTGGTTTCCTCCTCCCTTTTTGCACTGAATCTCAGTGGCTCGTTGGATTTTCCTGTCTGTGTCCTGCGAGTCTTTACCGGAGCTTTACCCTGTTTTATCTGCTCGACCAAATCCATCCACCAGAATCCACTATTTCTGTCCAAGAGAAACCCAAATTCTGACTTTTAATTTCCATTTTCTTTTATTTATTGTTGTTATATTTTCTTGATTCTTTCTCTTTTCATTTTTAAGATGTCTTTTCCTCTATATGATCTTAAAGGGTTATTTTGATTTTTGTGCATTTTATTCTTCCGTTTGGCCTCTTATGTCAATTCCGCAATTTTTAAACATATTTTTTATAAAAACCAAATGGGATTTAAATTTCTCATAAACTTGAATGTCGCGCATGCAGCATGCCAGCAGCTATAGCAGCGATGATGATGATGATGATGATGATGGGCAGGTGTCGCTCGGCAGGTGACCTTCATCCACGGAACTGCTCATATTTCTGTTGGGACTGTTTTTAATGAACAGTTGTGAATCTCGGTCAGTGTCAGTGTCAGTGTGTGAACGTGTTTCCAGCCACAGAGACACACTCACACTTCACCTGCATGTTTCACTGTCATCCCTCCTGAAGCAGAGCTGGAGGAGCTGACAGATCGGGCTGTTACTCTGTCATGTTCCTGATGTGTACTATCAGCAGGCTGCTTGTTGCTCCTTGTTGTCAGACATCTGAACCGCACTACATGCTCGGAATATTTTTCCTGACAAACCTTCAGTCTGAACTTGGCTATTTCGAGATTTGTTTTGGCGTTTGCAGATACTAGACCATCATACTGAAAATCAGATTAGGCTGTAGATCACTCAGTGATCAGGATTAAATGAAAAGTAGCAGGAATATTCTGGGAAAACAACTTAAAGCTTTAAATTGTGTATATTTTCCAAATTTTGGACTAGTAAAAAGTATGTTGGTGTGGTCCATTAAGTGTAACCACATAGTACCACATAGCTGTCTGAAGTGTAAGACGTGTTCATTCAGCTGAAATCAAAGAAATGTGCTTCTCAGCTAAAATTATGAAAATGTGTTAAAGTTGGAAGACTGAAAACTGAACAATGGAAAACATAAGTGACTTTGAGATGTGATTGAATTTATCTCCACTGCTGGGAGGAAAATCCACCTACACACACACACACACACACACACACACACACACACACACACACACACACACAACCTGAATCTAAAGCTGTGGACTTTGCTGGAATAAAATACATTTTCACATGTGAACAGTCTTGTCACATGAGAAATAAATGTTTCTGTGAGTTACACTGTCAAGAGTAAAGGCAGTATGTAAAAAGATGATGAGTCAAAACCTAATTCCAGAGCGGCAGCGCTCTTTCCTCCCTGACACAGTAACATGGTAATGTTTTTATGTGTGGAAGTGATTAGTGTGCACAGTCTGGTGTGAGGAGTTGGTGTTGTGCAGTAAGATGCAGCTATAGGCAGGGTTGTGGGGCTCAGGGGAAGAAAGAGTCTGCAGGATAAAGATCAGAGAAGCTGCAGGCAGCTGCTGCTGCTGGATTGTGTGCTACTCATCTTTATTATTCTCAGACAGCATGTAAAAGCAGATCCATGATTCTGGACTGATTGTGCGTATAGTAGTTAAGAAGTGTGTGCTGTATTTAGAATCGGATGTGATTTTTGTGCTACAACCTAATTACCTCCGCTGAGGGTGGGGGTTATGTTTTTGTCGGTGTTTGTTTGTTAACGGCATAATTCAAAAAAGTAATGAAAGTTTCTGGAGAGGTAGGGTATGACCCATGGAACAGTTGATTAGAGTTTGGTACTGATCCGTTGCATAATTTGGATACAGGATTTTTCTAAAAGATTATTCAGTATTGTGTGTTCTGTAAAGGTTGACTGTATGTGGCTGTGTGGCTGCTGAGCACTGGAGTGAAGACCAGTGTAGTACAATGTGTGTGCATCTATGAAGAACTCTAAATACACACTATTACGTTGGTCTGCACGGGAACATTTATGTGGCCATTTGTGGCATTTACTATTCATTCGTGTCAATGTACTATGTAAAGCTAAACTGTTCACAGTGTGGCTTGTTCATGTTGCTAAAGCTGTTTGATATGCTGCAGTCTGGGGGGCAATGTTACTCCAGAAAGCAGGCTAAGTTTGTTCAAGGTGAAATGAGGGAAACTCTGGCCCTTCACTTCCAGAAACAGAGATCTACTCTATGCAGCGACAGCTGGGCGAGAGCCTGACGCCAGAGATTGGAATCCAGGCTCAACGCTGTAAACATTTTCATCCATAGGAGTGGTATTATGCCATTTTATTACATTCTGACTTTTTTTTTCAGGTGATGAAGTAACAACTTGAAAATATGTGGTCACTCTGTCCAAGTAATTCACAATTTGTTTTGACATTTTCAGAGATGTGAATTCTCATTATCTAACCAAGTTCACTCTGTCAGCAGGCAGCTACATCTTGTTCAATTCAATTTTATTTGTTTAGCGCCAAATCACAACGAAAGTCATCTCAGGACACTTTACAAAGTAAGCTCTAGACTTTAGTACTACTACTATTATTATTATTATTATTGGTGCTTGGTGACAGCGGGGAGGAAAAACTCCCTGTCAGAGCACAGTGTTCAGTTGGTGAGGACGCCAGTGTTCCCGCTGCACAGTTTATGTTTGCACCTCTACCTACACTGTTTCCTGTCCTGATTTTGGCTCCATACTAGTAAATTTCAACAGAATTTCAGTCTGACTGCACCTGTATGTGCCAAACTCTCTATCCCAATCAACATTTTGAAGCGTCTCTAATCAATATAATGAATATTTTTATAATAACAATGTCAAGTTTTTAAAATCCTCTATGTATCAGGCACAAGAGAGCCAGTGAAGCCCAACCCCGGCAGCCCACTTTGAGGAACGGTCAATAAGCGTGAATGCTTATCAGATGCAAAAAACACTGCAGAGCCCTGAATTCTAATCTGAAGAAGTGTCTTACAAGAACTAATTGGAACGCGATGCACCGCCTGAGACGTTGCTTTGGTTTGTGATAAAAGGAGAGCCAGGTTAAAAACAAAACAAATTGCCAGATGACCCTGCATTTTTTTCTGCCCTCTGCACTGACAGCTGCACTGTGCTGTCATCACATTCGTTCCAGTGAAATTTGACGAGTGGGCTGCATTTTTTTTTTTACGCAGCAGTGTCTCTGTGAATGGCCTTAGTGGCTGAAACATTCTTAACCATAAAAGTGCCTGTAAACCATAAAATCACTGGAAAGCCAAAAAAAAAGGAGATGAAAGGTTCCCTCCTGACAGCAGCCATAATTCAACACTTGATGGTAGCACAGTATAGGGAGGTACACAGCTGAGTGACAATAAAAGCTGTCAGAGTGATCGCTACAGTGCAGAAGAAATGCTGCGCTCGCTATTCATGCACTATGTTCATCATTCCACTGCTGTGTGTTCAGCTGCTGTACTGTTAGAGAAAACGAAAATGGCTAAATAATGATTTAAACGCGGTCGTGTTTGTTATTTCTCATCTCTCTGCTGATCATGAAGAGATGTTTGCACTTTGACTCTGTGCTGTGTGTTTCTGCTCTGCAGCTTTGTGTGTGATTTATTCTGAGTGTGCACGCAGAGCACAGTGAGGCAGTGTTGTTGAACATGATGTAGTATAGTGAGCAGCCAGTATGCACTGTGTAAGATGTACTTTATACATGTACAGTACCTGCTGTGTCTGCTGGTAGAGAGAGGAGTGTTGGTCTGAATTCAGTGTTATCCAGAAGAAGTGCTCAGTTAAAGTAACAACACAATAGTGTAAAACTACTCTGTTACAAGTAAAGGTCATGCATTCAAAATGTTAAGTAAAAGTACAAAATATAGCATCAAAACATTCTTAAAGTACTAAAAGCAAACACACTCATTATGCAGAATGACACATTTAACATTAATGTATATCATATGAGTTGATTATAATGAATGAATGAATGAATGATTGTCTTCATTACATTGAATGTAGCAGCTGGTAAAGGGGGAGCTAGTTTCAGCTTGTATAGAAGTTTGTAATTTGAAGTACCACTGGATAACCTGTGAATTTTGACATCAATAAAGTTTTATGATGACACTATAATTGTATTAAACTGGTTAAAAAAAAGTAACTAGTAGCTAAAGTTATAAAATAAATGTAGTGGACCAAAGTACAATATTTGCCTCTAACAAAATGGATAATATTCAAATACAGATACCGAAGTACAGTACTTGAGTAGATGTACTTAGTTTCCTTCCATCACTGATTTAAGTCTAGTGAGGAAGAGTCACATGCGACAGAGAGCGAAGGCTGTAGAAGAAGCTGCTGTGATGACGTGCAGCCTGCAGTAAAGTTCAGGCCATATGAGACCCTTCATCTCGAGTCTTTGGTGAAGTCACGATACCACACGTAGTAACAGATTTTACAAAGATAGATATTTCTTTTGTGGCGGGCATCCAAGTTTGGCCATATGAGTTTGACTTGTATTCACAGTAAATGATTTGTGTATTTGGACTATGATCACACAGGCCTGGGTGTCAAGAGTTATTTTTGGCCCAGAAGTCCTTATTCTGAGCTGTCAAGTATTGTATGCTGGCATTCAAGGTCCTGTCCTGGTTTGTAGTTATTTGGCAGTTGCTTTTGATAATTTAACATGGAAAAATTTGATTTCTTTTGTTAAAATTGGGGGAAAAAAATCCTGTTCTTCCATCAAAAAGTACTGAACTGGTTTTTGCTGAGACTAGTAAATAAAAATATCAATTATAATTGGAAATGCAGGTCAGTTTTACTCCAATGTCAAATCATTCCTGGTGTAAATGAACCTTTTGCAATCATTTAGAAACTCATGTTTGTGCTTGAGTTTAAAAAACTCTGTTAATTGATTTAGGAATGAAAAAATGTTCTGAACATATTGTTGCTG